GTCTTATATGATTGCTGATCTAAAGAATGGTCATAGTTATTCATTACTTGGGCTGTTCACTTCATTGGTATGTGAAATTTTTGTTTTAATTATTGTGATTTTTTTTTCTTTTTTCTTTTTTTTTTTTTGATAGAATATTCTTTTGATCACAGGGAGTATTCAAGGAGAAATACCCTCTCACGGCAAATTTACCCTACGAAAAGATTAAAAAAGTCAAATTTACGGAATTCGCATCTTTGCCCTGGTCTTCCACGGTTTATTTCGAAATTTATACTTGTCAAAAGAATGAGGTGTTGATACGATTGGTATTTAACTTTGAACCGATGTTGATCCCGGGTTGTGGAGGCGAATATTGCAAATGGGACAGGTTTAAAGAGATTATCGGTGATCAAATTGGGTGCGATCTTTCAAAGGAGTGCACTTTACCTTAAATAGAATGATGAAAATAAAATAAATGACGTTACCAATTATCGTTTTTTTTTTTAAAAAAAATTAAATAAATTATAATTATTTTTCATATATAAAAATTAAAAACCACAAAATAAACGGGTTTATAAATAAACTACAAAAGCACGAAATAAACGGTTTTTCATCAGAATTTTACATAAACATAACTCGAGAATTTTATAATAAAAATTTATTATTGAATAGATTTGGTTTAAAATTAAAATTCTTCCGTTACGTAAAAATCCTTATTCGACGCAAAGGGTTTTCGCGAAAAAAAAAAAAATTCAAGTATTCAAAAAAAAAAAAAGATTATTGATAATACCACATTTCCTTTAATAATTATTATTTCAGTGCAATGCCGTAAGTTTATAAAAATGTTTGTTGATTTGCATGTCATGTAAATCTTAAAGTTCAAAGGGCTCTATGATATAATCCCCTACTTATTCAAATTTCAAATGATATAGATATTAATATACTCTAAATTGTAATCATGAAGCAGGTTAAGTTTCTTACCCAAGAGTTTACAATGATTATTGGAATATACCATAAAATAATAATTAATTGGATCCTTACATATTCGCCGACAAATATTTAGTATTTTTCATGTAAAATTTTAGATATATATTAATGTTAATTAAAAGAGAAAAATTATACCGTACACTAAGGTTATCAATTATAAAAATCATGTTCGTCAAATACATAATATTTTAAAAATAAATAAATATCCAATACCTTAAAGTACCTTTTAAATCTTTTTTAAACTAATAAAATTAAAAATTATATCAACATGCAAAATTATCTTTTTTACTAAGTGAGTGATTGACAGTACCAATTAAATTAAGGTTTATGCCAATTATCAAACTTTCGCGGTTTTGACTTTAATAAATATTGTATCAAGTTGGACAGTTGTCAAATTTTCATGGATTTGCCAGGACACCCTTATCCATCAAATAACATTCTTACAATAGATAGAAATTGTAAAAATTTTGTACCCTTTGGTTTCTCTTTAAATTACAAGGATTACATTTTTCAAAATTTTCTTTGTGCCTCAATGATAGGATGATCTTTTATTGTTTATTTTTTTATACCTTTTTCGGAGGGTCGGTCTAATTTGTTGTTGTAAATGCTTTTTATTTCGTTAAACTGCGTTTATGTTCTTTTTCATTTAGATGATATTTTAGGCAAATTTAGGAGAATCCTTTCGGATTGTATCACTAAAGATTGTATTAATTTTATTTTAAATAATTTTTTATTTTTTATTTTTTATTTTTATTTTTAGCTGCAGGCTGCAGGCTGCAGCAATTACTATGGCTTTAGCTTCAAATTTCGGGTTGGCTTTCTTCGAAATTAAACGCACACAATATGTACTTCTTTTTTTAATACTTATAATCTTTTTTAAGTATTTTGATTTGATTATTTTTAGCTCTTTTCCTTAGTCTATTCAGGAAGTATTATTGATTTTTTTCAATTTTATTTTTGATTTAGGCGATTCGTGTAACGCCGATGACCGGCCATTATTATATACCTTATTATTACCTTATATTAACACTAATAAATACTAACACTAACACCAACATAAAACTAAAAGGTAGAGGACAATGCAGAGGATAAAGTAGAAGAGGAATCTACCTCAAGGAGGTTGTTTAAATATATTTTTTATTTAAAAAAAAATATTTGGATCTGTCGCGGGTGGCACAGTCAGGTTGCATGATGAAATTGATTTTTTATTTTTTTTTAAAAATTTAAAGAATTAAAATAAAACGATCGGGAGAATAAAAAAAATAATAAAATTAAAAAAAATAAAAATAAAAAAAGATGTTTGAGGAGAGAAAAACTATAATATAAAAAAATAAAAATGAAATTAAAATTAAAATTAATAAAAAAAAAGAACAAGAGTGGAGAAGGGAGATGAATAAAATAAATATAATAAAATAAAATAATAATAATTTACAAGAATAATAAAAGATAAAATAATTGGAATTAAAAATAATAATAAAAAAATGAATGGGGACAAATAAAAAAAATAAAGAAATAATTAAAAAATAACTTTAAAAAGATCGGAGGGGGATAAAAATAAATTAAAAAAAAAAATAAATTTAAAAGATCAGAAGGAGGAAAAAGAAATATAATAAAATAAAAAAATAAAAAAAAACAATGAAATAATTAAACAAAAAGACTGAGGGGATAAAAATAAATTATAATTAAAATAAAAATAAAAATTAATGACAAATTATTAAAATATTAGATAATAAAGATTATTTATATATTACAAAGTCTACATTTTATTTTCAAGAAAAGTTATCAAGCCGGTAAAATTATATATTACAATAAAATTTGAGATTTTAAGATAGTTGAATTTGTAAATAATTTACCGCCAAAGTTATTAAGGTAAAAAATGCGCATTGGTCTTGACAATACTTCATTTTCCCACGATTCTTTATTTATTTTATGGCACAGTAAATTTTGACAATTTTGAGCTTTAAAATTATAAAAATTCGCATCTGATTTTTATCTATTATTAATATTGTTAATGATTAGAAATACTGTAATAACGATGACATTTATAACTTAGTAAAATTAATTCTTAATTTTTTTTTTTAAAAAAAAAATAGAAATATATTTTTAATGCTTTTATTTTAACCTTAACATTGTCGTTATTGTTTTTGAAAAAAAAAATTGCTTAAATAGTTTAATATTCAGATTTTTTTTTTTTAATATCTCTTCGATAAATTTAATTGCATAAATATACTTTACCATTTAGTCTTTCTAGGTTATTATTATATTCACCTTCATTACCCAAGGTTAATTCTACATAATAAACAAATTCTTTTGGTATTTGTTAATTATTTATAGAAATTGTTGTTATTTACCTTCATCAAATTCTTTATTCGAATTTAATAAATTTAATTTTTAGCAAACAAAAATGTGTATAATTAAAGAATTAGAGTGTGGTTAATATACATGTATTACCTTCTAATAAGGAAGTTTTTTTAGCATCCGATACTGGCTCTAATGTAAATTCATGAAAAAAAAGATTTCAGAATATCATCAAACCGTCAAATTAACTCATTTTAGTAATACGATGCTTCATATTTTTTTATTCCTATTTCTTTTTTGAAAATATTTTTTAAATTTCTACACTCTTACCTTTATAATTATTATTAGACATTGTTATAATTTATAATAAAAAAAAGTTTTTTAAAAAAAAAATTTATTTCAAATTATCTTGTATAACGAGGTATGTACCTGTAGATCTTAACGCATATTTGAAGAAAGCACAGTAATTACAATTCATTGCTAATTAATAAAAATAACAATAGTGATAATTTGAATCGGAAAATTTTTTGTTTTAATTAGATACAAAATAATTTTTTGATTGTTTTCAAATTTTCTTTAACATCGCATTATGAAGATAAAAATTACGAGGCACGTTTTTTGGCATAGCGATTTTATCATGATCATCTTTCTTGAAATTTGATTTTTAAAATAAAAGTCTTTAAATTATTGATATTTTATGCATTTTAATGCAGTCCCCGGCTAATTGCATCTCTAGTTGGAAATTTTACTTTTTTATTTTTAGCTACTTGATAAATGATAATTTTTTTAGGCAATATTTTCAAGTTGCACTCCGCATAAGAAATTTTTTTTTCGTCACTAATTTATTATATTTACTGCTCCGGTACAGTACTTGTTGATAGAAAACAAAAGCAAATCAATCATAATGTTTTACCAAATTCGCTGGGATATTTACATCGCCTCTCTGTTTTTAATGATGCAACGATTGGAGGGGAGGTATTTTGGAAACTAAATTCAAGCAGGTTTGGTAAAAAATAAATTTTTTTTTTTTTGATTTTTTATTACTGACGCGCCAAATATTGGATGCCTATTTATAAAAAATTTTTTTTTTATTTGTCACTTTTTTTGTCTTGTTTTATTTCAACTATTCAAGTAAAATTTTTTATCGATCGCTCAAAAACTAGTTTCGAAAATTTCCGGATTTTTTGAGTTAGGATGTTTAATTACAAATAAAATTCATTTTTTATTTAAGTTCAACTTTATAAAGGTCTGGTTACATATAAGTATTTCGTATTCTTAGCAAAATTATTTTATTTATAAGAAAAGAAGTGGCAAAAAAATTCTTTAATAGAATCAAAAACTATGAAAATTATTTTTATTTTTATTTTTTATTTTTTTAAAAAAAAAAGAAGAGATACATTTCTACTTTGAATTATACATTTAATTTCGATTCAAAAATAGTTATCAATTGCGAATAATTGGAAAATATAAAAATAAATTTTGTCATACAATCAATCAACTTTACACTAGGTGTGCCAGTATATTAACAAAAATTATATCATTTCCTATAATAATATTTACTATTAAAGATTTTTTTGTAATTCCGAATGTTTATATTTTTTTAATACATTTTTATACTTTAATAACTTTAGATCATTCCCAATAACTTCGCTCCAAATTTTACAAAACATTCTAAAATATTGTCGTATAATATTGTGTCTGTTGGTAGATTCATGGTTAGTATCATAGACATATAATTGGGCATACATTGGTGATTGAGTTTCATCAGTCAATACGATGATATATGTATTAGGCTATGAATTTAGAAATTAGACATACTTTGACCATAAAATTCCTGATCTAAATTAGCGGCAAATGACTTACAAGCTAAAATGCTATTATAGGCTCTGATGTTTTTGCAAAACGAAATTGCATCAGATCATGCTGAAGTATATAAATAAAAGAGATATAATGGGGGCTTGAGCAAAGATGTTAAACTAACTTTACCACCAATACAACACATTGCAAAAGTTGAAAGTATATGTACTTTTTTGATCTTTTTCATTAGGTCAAAATTTAACAATACAATTGGTACTTGTCTGATTTATTCTTCCCAAGTCATAACGTAGAATATTATCTATAAGCATATTATTTTTTACGTGATTGATCATTTATTTCTTTAGTATTAGGATTGCTGTTCAGTGGAATCTATTGTTTTAAATAACGCAGAAGCTATTATAAGATTTTAATTTTTTATAGAGGCTTGAGCGTAAATCAACGATCCATCACCACTCCCGTAATTACTTTATATATTATTAGATTGAAAAATAAAAAAGAAAAGAAACCTAACCTATTTCTTTTGAATTGATCCAACTTGAAGCGGAACTTAATAATTAAAAAAAGAAATAAGTTTTAAAATAATTTACATTTGATCTTTGCGGCCAAACTCCGAGTAAAATAGAAATTTAACTAAAATACTTATACTAGCGAAAGCGATCCAACCAAAGAAAATTAAAATTCAAATATTATGCGATCGAACCCGAAATAAACATAAAAATAAAAACAAATAAGAGAAAAGTTAACAAAAAAATAACAATTAATAAAAATAAATAAATAAAAATAAACTGACTCTCGACAAAAATAACAATTAAAAAAAAGAAAAGGAATTAAAAAAATCTATCTACCATACTGGAAAATAAATCATCCTATCGTGGCCAGATTCGAATTTAAAAAAAATTAAATAAATAAAAATTAAATAAATAATGACTCACCTTATCCTTGCGGAACCTAAAGAAAGTATGCAAAATCTTTTGAAAAATCATTCGTCTGTAGCGATCACCACTTTAAGCTAAAGTAGTACCATTAATTTTATTCCCAAAATCAGATTTATGTTAGGAGAGATATTTAATTGCAAAAATTCCTTTTCAATATGTAAGCAAAGAAAAGGTTGAATTGAACCTTCATTCGCATGTATGCATAATGCAAGTGCCGCCCTGTTCAAATTCAGGATTAAACCCCGGAATTTTGAACAGGGCGACGCATCATATAAGCACGTCAGAAATGTGCAAACCTCATTTAGCAATTAAAACTAACCAAAAATTAAATTTGTTGATTGATTCAAATTATGGAAAATAATAAATCTTTGGTTAAGCAAATGAATGGTACAAGCTTTTCAGCATTCTTTAATGACAAAATATTTTGAATCACTTCATCTTATCATCTAATAGTTGAAAGATCATTATTGTTCGTTTCCCTACACGAAATTTCAATGTGGACGTTTTCGATAAAATTTTTATTAAAAATTAGCGAGAAAATTCCAAACTTTGCATAAAAGAAATGGATTGACTCGATATCTCGTTTTCTTGAATGTTTGGGATAATTCCTCAATTAAGTTAAATTTATGATGCTAGTGAAAATATAACAATGTACTACCGAATTCCTTGCTGTCACTTGACTGTTGAAATTAGTTTCCGCCTAATACAATCAACACTCTTTATAACGAAATGACGGTTCCGTTAAAAAAAGTTCGTTATTTAAATTACTATGTTTACTATATGAACCATTACAATTTTTATAACGAACTATTATTAAAATTTAAAAATTTGAGTTCGTTATAAAGTTATTTTTGAGTTTTAATATTATTATCATAAATTCCAATTATGTAATAAAAGGAATTTGACGTTTCGCACTTTTCTATTCACACACACGTAAGTTTAGATTTGATTATAAGTTTGATTGATTACAAACTTGTTAAAAGGTGTTGATTTTCATAAAATATAATTGTTCTTTTTAATTTCCTTTTGTAATAGTGTGTTTATAAGACGCAGCAGCAGCTAAGGTGGACAAAACAACAAGAAATGTCATTGTTGATTATGTATGCACATTTATTTAAATGGTGTGAAAAAATCAATGTAGATCCTGTCACTTTATATACTGATTTGCCAAATTTCTTTTTGAAAAATTTCATTCCCCTTTGTTTTTATAAAAATAATTATGTTTGGTTCCGGTAAATTGAACTTAGTTGAGCGTCCTGGCTTAGGCCGTATTGGTCGTCCTATACGAATCAGAGCAAACTTTTTCGAAATAAACTCTACAGATGACGTAAATATTCACCACTATGACGTTATAATTACTCCGGAAGTTCCTCCGACTCTGAATAGGAGAATTTTTACCCAGTTTGAAGCCCTGCATGCTGGTGATGTAAAACCAGTATTCGATGGTCGTAGAAATATTTTTACCGCTAGACCGTTACCTTTTGGTTATACGGACACTTTTGATATACGTCTTCCAGATTCTTCAACAACTCGACTTCCACGTGCTTTTAAGCTCATCATTAGGAAGGTCGCTGTAATTAATACCTATGAACTTCATAGCTTCCTTGATGGACAATGCATATTATCATCGAATATTTAACAGGTTAATTGGTTATAATTGTTATAATTTATTGATTACAAAGTTTGTATAATTAATCAAAAATCTTTATTCTTAACGTTAATCAGTAATTATGGCCCTTAATGTATTAATTCGTCATAAACCATTTTTGACGTGTAAGGCAGTTGGTAGATCATTTTATACCAATCAAATCTCACAAGCTTGTTCCGGTGGTTTAGAAATTTGGCAAGGATATCGTCAATCCGTCAGGCCTACACCTGGAAGAATGATGATAAATGTTGATGTAAGCTCTACTGCTTTTTATGAAAGTTGCGAGTTAGTACATATGGTCGCAAAGATACTCGGTCGTAATCTTGGTGATCTAAGAAGAGAAATAGTTGATAGGGATCGGTTAAAACTTGAAAAAGCTTTAAAGTATTTAAAAATTCGTGTTACCCACCGTGGAGATAATTCCGAGCGCACGTATAAGATTATTAAATTAACTAATACCCCGGCATCAAATACTAAATTTGAAGTTGATGGTACTAGAACAGATGTTGCTTCATACTTTCAAAATACTTACAACGAACCTCTACAATATCCATTCCTTCCTTGCGTCGTCGTCCGAAGGGATTTATATTTACCATTGGAAGTATGTAAAGTAGTTGAGGTACGTATGTTATGCAAATTCTCTTTAAAGCAGAAAAGAATGCATGCTTTTATTAAAAAAAAAAAAAAAAAAAAAAAAAAAAAAAAAAATTTGCTAATTGTAATCTGTTTATTAGGGACAACATCATATTCGCAAATTAAACGTAAGGCAGAAAGCTGATATGATAAAATTTTCTCTTCAGCAACCCCAAGTCTGTGCAAATAAAATTGTACAAGGTTTAGAAATTCTTGGTTATCGACTAAATGATTGTATGAGGCAATTTGGTTTGGTAGAACCTGAAGAAATGGCTGTAGTTCCAGCCAGAGTATTGCCTGCTCCAAAAATACTATATCACCCTTCTTCTCGTACTCCTGCCTTTATTCCAAGAAATGGGTCATGGAATTTACGTGATAAAAAAGTTGCTACTGGAGCCACACTTAGTTCATGGTCATGCGTTGTTTTCGGAAATTTCCGAATGCAAGTCGTACAATATTTTATCAGAGAATTGGTTAACGTATGTCTGGATACTGAAATGAATATCCCGACTAAGAATCCACCAATTTTCCAAGGTAATCCTCAAGGTAATATTGAACAGATCTTGAGGCAAGCATGGGTTAAAGCTGGCAATATGACCAGATCACCACCTCAGTTAATTTTATGCATTCTTCCTAACACCGGTGTACCATTGTATGCTGAAATTAAACGTGTGAGTGATACAGTAATTGGTGTTGCTACTCAATGCGTTCAATCTAGACATATTTTTCAAGCAAAAAAACAATATTGCGCTAACCTATGTCTCAAAATGAACGTAAAACTTGGTGGTATGAATTCATACATTGAACCAAGTTGTATACAGTTTATTACGCAACGGCCGACCATCGTAATGGGTGCATGCGTCTCACATCCTGCTCCTGGTGGTGATGAGTCTCGCCCATCCATCGCTGCTCTATGCGCTTCAATGGATGCAAAAGCATCTCGCTATGCCGCCTCTATTCGTGTTCAAGCAGGTAGAACAGAAATAATCTGCGACTTGTCAGTATGGTAAAGGAGCTACTGAAAACCTTCTACCGGACATGTGGAAGAAAACCAGAAAGTGTTTTGTTCTATCGAAACGGTGTCTCTGACAACCAATTTCAACAAGTGCTTGATTTTGAAATTGAAGCTGTAAGATGTATGTGCCTAATTTTACTAAAGTAATTTGTAACAATTGAAAATTTACGACATACCGACCTTTTATTTCCATTTTTAAATAACAGGTGCATGTGCATCACTTGATGCGAATTATAAACCGTCCATAACCTTTGTGGTTGTAAAGTCACGTCATCACACTCGTCTTTTCCCTAAGGATAAGAAAGATTCAGATAGGACAGGAAACTGTCTGGTTGGTACAGTTGTTGAATCAACAATAACGCACCCTTTCGAATTTGACTTTTATCTTCAGAGACACGCTGCAACACAAGGAGCTTCGCGTCCAACACATTATTACGTATTGTGTGATGAAAACCGATTCAATGCCGATTCAATTCAAACTTTATCATACAATTTATGTTATTCGTTTGCGCGATGTACGCGTGCAGTTTTTATTGTCCCACCAGTATATTACGCGCATTTAGTTTGTTGTAGGGCCAGATTTCATTCGCGAAATGAAAATTGGAGCGATCAAGATCCAGAAAGTGGGGTTCTTGTATCATCTTTTGGTATGGTGAAACCTAATTTACAAAAAGTTATGTACTTTATATAGAGAATTGTCCCGAAATTATTCGAATGGGTTTATCTTTAATTCTGTATATATATATATATGTTTCTTTATATAGTCATTGGTATGTTGTAGAAATATTTTTGTAAATTAGAATTTTGAGACAAATTATTGATATTATCTAGTATTTGATACAATATATTATGAATAAATATACAGTATGTGTTTAGATTCATTACTGATTTTGTTAAAACTAATGAGCTATGTACAATTGAACTCGCCCAAATTTAGTCCGACTTTTTCAAGTTTTACAAACATAAAAATGGAAGAGGGTGAAACCCTAACGCCATACTTTTAAATCAGCTCGATTAAGAAAGAGATAAGTATTGAAAAATGTTCATTAATGTCTCGGTTCTTCTTTAAGTAAAACTTGAAATTCTTTCTTGATGTAATGTAATTTTATCACAGATTAGAACTTTTAATCCAAGGGATTTGTTAATCAAATGTTGTTTGAATTAATAATGACCTATTTAACTGTTGGTCATATCATCAGTATCTCGAAATCAAGTATGATTGTTCAAAGATCCACTTATTGATTATATTGGGTACTTCATCAATGAATTTTCTTCATATTTATAACAGAGAAGATAAATCCTTCCAATGTCATTCTTTCCTCATTCAATTGATTAAACCGCCAGTTTACTGGAGAATGTGCTAACTCCCGAATCTAAAATTACAAGTAAATCTTGTTAGTAGATCCCTTATTTCAATTAAATACCCAAGCATCTATAAGCTATTTATTTAGCTTAGGTAAGTCTTGGAATGCAAGATAAATTCCCTCTGTCAAAATCATAATCTGTTATAAGTCTCCTTGAATAGGTTCTAAATCAAATGATTGCAGACGAAAGCTTTCTTCCAATGCTTAGAATGGATAACGAATACCGTTATTTGATCCTGAACCTTTTTAAATGAACGGCAAATTTGACCTTTTAGTCTTTAAATTAGCTCATTCTTAATTAGAGGATTGCTTCCTTTCTACAATCATGGCATTTTTTGACTCTGAGCGAAAATATATGACTTGTGATCTTCTTAGATAATGTTTTAACGACAGAACGCTTTTTTTAGTATAATAAAACCTTTGAGATATTTTCCTTGTTTACTCATTCCAATTCTCTTGATTGAATATTAATTTCGCTTATTATTCTTGGCTATTTTCTAGTAGGAAAAAAAAGTCGATAAATCAAAATCACGAACTGAGAGGATTTGATGAAATTCCAGATATTTCATATATTTTAGAGGAAGGTGAGTAAGGAATGTTTCAAATTGTAAAGTCAAAAGTGAGATATTAATAGTTTTACAATATTATTTCTACAATATAAAACTCTTTTTATAGGGTTTATAATTGATACATATGCCTTGATTATGTTAATCAATACCATTGTTAATTATGGAATTTTCTGCAGCGATAAATTTTGTTTAATTCCGATACTGAAATGTGACCGATTTATATCTAAATATTAGTTAGTTTAATTTAAAAAAAAAATTGGTTAGCATTTTAAGTGTTAAAAATGAAAAATTTTATTATAAAAATTATTTCCCTTATCTTTTAAAATAAATGTTCAAAGAGGCATCTTTGCCTGCAAATGAATAAAAAATATTAATTAGTTGGATTTTTAATATTAATCTTTATGGACACAGCACTTTATAATGGTTAAAGCTCTTAAGAGGAAATCTTGATTTCTTATTAATGAGCGTGATGTTTAATTAGAGATTAGAATCAGTTCAAACCTCTACGTTTAATAGATTCATATCACAAAATTAGATTTCTATTATTACCAAATCCATTGTTACAACGAAAGGAAAAAATTAAAGAAATGTGTTAAATGTGTAACTGAAATTTAGGATAGAAATTTCTTTTTATTATTGAATCAGAATTCTATTTCATTTTTCAAGAAGCCACTATAAGACGAGTTACACTCTTAACAGAATTTAACTTGAAAGGTGTTGATTTTTTAGCTTTAACAATAATGACCATTTATACCCATTCATATTTAATATAATATTATAAATTTTATTTTATTTTATTTTACTTTTTTTTTAATTTCCTTAAAATTTTCTTTTTAATTAATTAGGTTTAATATTTAACTATGTTATTGAGAAATCGAAACTAAAATATTAGTAGGATATATTAATATTCTTAAACTTTTATTTACCATTTTTTAGGAAGCACACTATCTAAGAAGAGGACAAATTAGTGGTTGGTTAAGAAGTTAAATGTTATAATTAATGCATTTTTCATTTTTTCAATCTTATATTCCCAGCATTGATTCCGACTCCTTTGTCCTTTTTGTTAAATTTACAAAATTTATTTTATTGTATAATATTCCATATAATAAAAAAAAATATTTGTGAAAAAAAGAAATTCTAATTAAAAAGGGAATGAAATTTAAATTAACCCACCAAAACTCGAGATTTATGATCAAATACAAACATTGAGTATTAAATAAATGAATCATTAGAACCTAAGAAATATAGTATCATCAGACATCTTAAGAGGAACTTTAACTACTTAGCTACTGGCCCAAAATACGCTCATCTATAATGAAAGAAAATGTTGTAACATAGCTGACCAACTTGACATAGATGAATACATTTAGGCATATTCTTCTAGAGCGGACCACCCATTAGCACTAACCAGAATCAAGTTAGATTTCTCAGAATAAACATTTCATTTAAGTACATTAATAAGCGAATAGACAGACTGGGAGCTCATTACCAGCAGATACAGCCCTGTATATAGGTATCCTCATTGAAATTTGAAGCTTATAAATCTCGAGTTTAAAACGAAGGGAAGCGATAAGTTAAAAAGAGTAACCTAAAGAAAAATCGAATTGTTTGTTAAATTATTAGTAAACCCTATGTTATAGTTTGGTACATCAAATACTTATAATATTTATTATTAACATCGTCTGCATTGAATTTTATTTAATTGACTCGAAGTATGCTGCTGTAAATTATTCAAAAAGTAAAGAAGTATATTGTAGAGAATTAAAAAGATATGATCACATGCCTTAGTTTTAGAAAAATGGTAAAGCCATGATCCGTGACTGTGCTAAAATAAAGTCATGTGATCTAAATAATCGACATAGTTGATGAAGTTGACGAAGTTGACAGAGTTTCTAAAGTTGTCAACATTAATCAAGTAGATATATTAGATAAATAGGTTATATTTATTATATTTATTAATTATATCTTATTTATTATATATATTATATTTATCATAATTATATTATCTGTTCTCTTTATTATATTTGTTATAGTTGATTTTATATTATTTTATTTTTATATAAATATCTTGTATTTTCTCTTGAGTCAAAAAGTAATTCAAGTTGAGGTTTTAGGATAAACTAAGAGTTCAATAAAGGAATTATTAAATTCATTTACTATTGCCTTTTATTGTGTCTTCATATAAGCGTGATTGTGATATTGTCTTGTATTTAATTCGATGTATTGAATTAAAAGTTTATCGATTAAGTTTACAGATACCAAGCTAACAAAAGTGGTGATTACTGCCAAGACTTCTAGCTTTTTAGTGGATGAGTTTTGATCTCTACCTTACATTACAACAAAATCATATTCAAAAACACTCTGAAAACAGAAGTTACTTATCAACCAACTACACTTGTATAATTTGCTATCCACCTCCAGAAGAAGTATCTTACCATTCAAACATTTTTGAAATTGGATTAGCATTGAATTTGGTGCTCTTGTATATACTGGAAAAACAGTAATCTTGTTTGATCAGTATTAATAACATTTTAGTGAATTACAACTCATTAAAACTCTAAAAAGAGAAGCCAAATTATTGTTATATAGTTTAACCTTTGTTAACCCTTTTGACATCAGATTTGATTTTGACTTCATTGCTATTCATATATTAGAAGAATCTTATTATTCAATCAACTTTGAACGTCCTATAGCAACCGAATTACAACCTTTAATACTCTCTCATTAGAACCCTCAAGAAGAAACATAATAGACGTGGATCAATTTAATACTTTCATTACCCAGCTCACAAATTCTATCAATCAACTCATTCAGGAAGTCCAAAACAGACCTCCACTCCAGCTACTAAAGAGAGAAACCAATTTAGTTCCAGTAAAACGCTTCTCAGAAAAAAGTGTAAAGGATCTATCTGATTGGATTACCCATTTTGAGAAAGCTGTGAAAGCTAACAACTGGAATAATAAAAGAATGGTCAAAATTACTGGAGGATTCCTCGATCATGTAGCCGCTGATTGGTATGAGGATACTACATTTGTTTAAAGTTAGAGAGTTGCAGATGATAAAGATAGTGCTGAAACCTTTGTGTTCAAATTCGTAAACTATTTCTTTATGATTGAACAACAAAACAAATGGCACTATGAATTCAATGATATTCTTCAACACTAGTCGAAATAGTCCAAATCGGCTAAAAATTGGATGGCCAATTTTAGGCTGATTTTGATACTATTTATGTCTGATTTGCCATATTTTTCAATCGACACAAATAGGTGCTGATAAACGCTGATCGACTCCAATCGAATATGGCTATTCAAAACTTAAATTCAACTATAAATCAGCCTAAAACTGGTCTCAATTCAGCAACAATTCAGACGTTAATAGACGCCGATTGATCCCAATCGGACATGGCCATTCGGAACTTAAATAACCATAAATCAGCCTAAAATTAGCCTCAATTCAGCAACAATTTAGACGCCGATAGACTCCAATCGTACAAGCAATTCAACCATAAATCAGCCAAAATTAGCCTCAATTCAGAATCAATTCGGCAACAATTTAGACGTTGATCGATGCCAATTGACTCCAATCAGATAAGCAATTCAACATCAATAATTGGTACATTTTATTTATTAAATTTATTAAATATTAAATTTTATTAATAAAAAAACCTAATATAAATTTGCAAAAATATAACAAAATATCACTAAAATCTACTGATTAATTTTCTATTAAAAATATAATAATAAAATAATAAAATCTGA